ACGGTTTGAATAGCCATTGGACAGGAGTCTCTCTGTGTGGAGTTTGCATGATCTCTCCGGTTACCTGGGGATTCCACCCACAGTTTAAAGACATGCTGGGATCAGCTCCAGCCTACCACGACCCCGAAGAGGAAAAGTGGTATAGATAATGGATGGATTATCATTACAATCATAAGATCGCCAGTATTTTTTTTTATATCATAAATGATACCTTCCTTAGGTTAGAACACCTATAAAATCATGTGCTAAGATGATGTTAATCCTTCAGCATGTTAAGAGGAGGAACAGTAAAGCAGATATCTGTCAGTGTCTGAAGATGTCCGCTGACTGAGCTGATGCTCATGATTCATATCAGAACATTATAAGATATCTTTAATCTTTTCTGATAGCCGTGAAGAAAATCTCCTTCCTGTCTGCCTGTCTAAAACCCTCTGAAACGTTTTTTAATAATCAGATGAGATTTTCTTTGTTTTTAATTTACAGTTTACTCAAGGATCAACACTTCGTGGGAGTTTTATTCTAATGTGGTTTGTTATTTAAGAACTTCTTGTCTCTAAACGGGAGTCTCAGAATCGCATTTTAAATCGACAGACTGAACTGAAATTAATTTTCATGACAAAGATATTCTTTATTATAGAGTTTGTTAGGGGGATGTGGGCAGTGGTGTAGTGGTGCCTGGGGAAGTGGGTACACTCTTCATTTATGCCCAAACATTTTTTGTAATATGTAAAAATTTCACACCAAAATATCTAAATTAATAAAAAATGTTGTGTTTCGTTAAGTACTAACATCACCCCAAATATTTCCAACAGTTATCAAAACCAGAGAAATCCATAACTTTATAGTTGTAACGGGACGTGCCTTGTCGTGCCTGCCACCATGACAGACACGACATGTTTATTGTTGCCATGGAAACATTGGATGTTATGTCAAAGACCTCTGCATAAGAAAGCAGCTACTGAAAGCTGTCGTTCCGTTGCTTCATGTGCTGCTGTGATAAAAAAAAAACGTCTTGTAAATTAAACTTGGCTACATTAGCTCGTCAGTAAACATCTTCTCCACCTCAGGTCGGTTTCGCCCGTTTGTCTTGACTACGGTCAACTTGGAGTTTGTTTTCATCGGGGGTGGGAGTGGAGAAGCAGAGAGAATCACTCCCATGATTCCCCGCCAGCCTCAATGTCATTTTTTTTTTATTGTTTTGAGTGAGAGCTCCCTGGTGGTGGACTTTACTTTTTGAACATTGTCACTTAACTTCTCTTCAGGGAGTAAAGACATTATGAAATTACTGTAGCCACAGACGATGTGCAGATGAGGGTAACAAAACGATAGACGACAGGGTGAGACAGCTGCATAATTAGGCATTTTGAGTAAACTAGGCTATCCCTGATTCCTTATGTGTCGGGGTGATTGCATCAGTGTGAATGTGTAGCTCAGGCTGGGCAAACACACAGATGTATTTTTTATAACTGCAGACAGACAGTTTTAATATTTATGACAATTGTAATGAATTTTTTTTATACTGCAGTGTGTATACAAGCTTTTAAAAAGTAAAACAGAAAATGTTCTGATTTGGCTACAAAAAGGAAATCTCCATGGTGTGGGACAGCACAACACTCAGCAGCAAGGTACAGGCAATCTGGTCTCATGAATGAGCTTTTTTGTTGCTGTTAGTATCATCTGACAGGCGTCTAGTTTCTTGGTTACCTGGCTGACAAGTCCTGCTCCATCTAGTATTTGATTGGTTTGCCTGACGCGGTGTAACCAGCACTTTTCTGAGTATGGCCCGAAGCGGCTACATAAACACTGATCGCTCTTTAAAAGACACTGATTGCAGATCAGAACATCCTGCACTGTCTCCTCATCAGGAACAGCTCTACAAGAAGTTAGATGGACATATGTAGCGTGGAAGCTAACCGCTGCGTATTGATCCATGTTATCTTGCCAACTCCCTGCTACATGCATATCCACTAACCTGAAACATATGACCACGGTTTATTTGCTGATGATGCCGTATATTTACTCTCTGCTGGATGGTAGCTGATTATTTGATGTCTTTACTTGATAAACGGAATGTTAAGCTAAGCTAATTAGCAAGCTAGCTAGCCTATTTGCTCACAGAGGTGAGATGATTAAATGAAACTCATTCAAACACACAACTCGGTTATCCTTTGGGGTTTTTATTTGTCTTTTTCTGGTTAAAGGCAGGGTTGGTAATTTTTTAAAACAAGCATGATTTGAAAGTAGCATTCCCTCAGTGCTCCGTCTGCACCAAGCCCCTCCCCTCTGTGTTCCCTCAAAAGCCACGCCCCCCTCACTTACATGTACGAGCACCGTTGCTCCAGAAGTGGACCTCAGCTCATCGCTTTCATTGTGTAGAAACTACGTCGTCTCATGTCTCATTCAGCGGTAAGTAAACACTAAAATTTATCAAAATACATGTTAAAAAAAAAAAAAAAAAAAACATGACTCGCTTTGAGTGTGGGATAGACTACGCAAGAGTTAGAGAACGAGCAGGGAGACAGGGAGGCGTCTGATTGGTTCATCAGATTGGTACCTCGTGGCAGACATTGGTCAAAGTTTTTTCAGGCTTACAGACTGATACAGATGATGGATTTTCTTTTTCTTTTTCAGAGAACACGAGTTATTAATTTCTGTCAGGACCTAAAGACACTTTCAAGCAAAATCTTAAAAAGTGGATCTGGAGAAAACTACCAACCCTGCCTTTAATGTTTGACTATAATAAAGTTTTTTTTTAGTCCCTGTTACTCCTCAGTTGAATCGCAGAAACTTTAAAAGATTTCCGGCTCATAACATTTTTCCGTTCTTCAACACGGCTCTCAGGCTTTAAGGTTATCAAACAAATAAGCCTGTGCAGCTCTGACTGCTGCACAATACAGCACACAGGACACAGAGCACCTCCACCTCAGGAGGATTAAAAGTTAGAGAGCGCCGGTTAGACCTGATTTGTTATGACTAGACTTTCTGTCGTGTCCGACACAAAGAAACACGGGGGGCTCAGACGGGATTCGTTGGGTTGTATTGTACAACTAACGTTCAAAGGGAATGTCTTTTCTTTTGGTGACATTTTCTGTTTGTGCTTTGACACCGATATCTGAGTTTCCTTTATCTGCGCTACAAAGAAACACACCCGCTGTGGAATACACAACCAAACTCAACAAAAATACACCAAGGGGCACACTAGTACACTTATTAACACAACTGCAAGCACACACAGGGACAAACCAACATGTCAACGATTAATTTATAGCTGCACGTCAAGGCAACAATCATGATTTTTTTTTATTCAGTCCATCATACTCAGGACCCCCTGAAGTAAATTCTGGTTTTACACTCTCCCTCAACTCTTATTGAGAGACATGCTTCTCACACACATAGGCCCAAAATACACATACGCACAAACAGGAACTTTGGACATGCATTAGTGGAGAGATTTCAGTTGTGTTGAAGTCAAGACCATACTAAACATGACCAAGACCTACCCGAGACCAGAGAGCTCCGAGACCAAGACAAGAACAAGACATTTAGGGCGCGGTCACACTGGCCATCTGTACCGTGCCGTACTCAAGCACAATTGGCCTCCTGCTGCGCCAATCCCATGCTGGCCGGCACGGCCCGCGGTCACACTACACAGGACTATCCGTGCTTAAGCACAATTACCTCTTGTACATAATGTCGTAATACAACACATGCATGCTTTATGTTATTATGAAGCGTTTTCAGTTGACAAACAGGCGGACAACAGAAAGAGAGAGAGAGAAAAAAAGGGACGCGCAGTCGAGTTAGCGTCTGCACATCGGAGAACAACACTGACTTTGTGGCTTAATTTAAGCCATTTTTATCAGACACAGCAATAAATAAATTAAAAACGATAGCTCTTATTATGACTAAGCTGGTCAAAATGACCCTGATCACTAAAACAAGCTTGAATTCCCATCACTACAGCAGAGAAAGATTTACCTCACAAACCAGGCAGATAATTTTTTTGGCAGCTACATGTGATGTTTTCTGTCATTCATGGTCACTAAATTGTGATTGTTTTTGTTCTTTGACCTTTTTTCTCCTTTTCTGTCTCTATTCATCTGGTCTCTCAGTCAGAAGAGCTCCAATTGAAGATTTAATCACAGTAACTCTCGCTCTTCGATCTCTTTCTGCCCTTACATGGTGAAGCAGCGTTGAGCTTTTTCTATGCTCCGAATATCTGAAACAAACTCCCTAAAAACTGCAGGTCTGCTGAAACTCTCAGTTCTTTTACATCGCTGTTAAAGACTCACCTGTTCACAGCTGCCTCTTAATAAACAACCTTATCTTAATGCCCATTTTTACAATGTAACACTGCACTTTTTTATTTACAATATAACTTTAACTCTTTTATTTTAAAACTCTTACTATAGTTTACTTACTGTTTTTGGCTCCTGTCTTTTACCTCTGTCTTATTATGTTTAATTTGTTCTTCTCTTTGTCTTTTTCCGTTGTTTGTAATAATAACTTTTAAATGCCCTCTATTAATGTATCTTTGTCCTGTTGTCATGAGGCTCTTGATGTCTTTAAATTGCATTGTTGCTGAAATGTGCTTTTTAAATAAATTTACCCTGCTTTGCCTTGGCTTACTGTGTGTGCATGCGTGTGTGTGCATATGCATGTGTGTGTGTGTGTGTCTCAGTGATTATTTGCCCTAATTGGAAAAAGACTTGTCTTAAAGTCAGTCACTGACCCGTGGGACTTAGCCTTTCATTCACTGGTTCTGCTGTATCGTGTCTGTAAACACTGAGAAAGACGTTGTGTTACTGCTCACTGAAGCTGGCTGCGCAACGATAAGTTCCACAAAGAAGTGCTTTAATAACCACTGCTTGAAATTGAACACAATCTGTTTTGAGATTAAAATGACATCGGGGGGGTGAATTCATCCCAGAGCTGAAATGAAAAACAATTTCAATTTCAATTTGATGTTAAAGAATGGATGAGAAAACGTCGGCACCTACCTGGATCTGACTTGGAGAAGGTGTCCATGTCCAGGAGGTTTCTGCAACAGAAGAAAAGAGATTATTAGAGAATGAGGATGGGTTTTTTTTTTTTATTACGAGATTCAGAGGAAAATTATTCTAACGTAGAGAGAAAAGCAGTCTGTTGATGTATAGTGTGAACGAGTATATATTATATGACATTCCTAACGAACAAAGCAAAAATCTAATAAACCCTCATTATGTAAACATTTTCTGGAGTATTCACTTCCAAAAGTTGATCTGAAAATCTGCTCTTAAAGTCACTTAGCAATTCCGTTAGCGCCAAGATGAAAATCAAAATGTAACTTGTACTTGTAATAAATTATCTGATCACTGCGAGTGTGTTTTTGTTGTCTGTGAACGCATGCAGGTTGGGTGCCTTACATATAAACACAATAAATATCTATTTAAAATTCAGTTCAGTCATTCTACAAGTATTTATTATTATTATTATTGTCGCCCTCTAAAGATCGCTGTCTTTTTTTCCAAAAACAGGCAACTAAATCAACTTCATTAATTTCTATAAAACACAAGACATGAAACATTTTCCAAATCAAATTTACCCAGGGCCCAATTTACAAGTCGATACTTATATCAAATTACTTTAAGGTCACATATTATGTAAAATGACCATGTTTTTTAACACTAATATGTCTCTAGTCTGTCTACAAAGCCCCCCAAGGATGAGAAAAGTCCATCCTCTCTGTCTTTTTCTTACTCCACTTTTCAGAAAATGTGTGCTCAAACAGGCCGTTTGAAGATTTTCTCTTCATGACATCACAAAGGGCAGTAACCCCTCCCCCAGGTGGGTGACACCCACAGCTAGGTGTTTGTTCCACCCTCTGAGTCTGCCTTCCTACTGTAAACAATAAAACATGGAGCGAGAAAGCCCGAGCAACCCAAGTCCTTCCAGAGAGGGGGCGTGGTCAGACACAGCTCATTTACATATTTAAAGGTACAGACACAGAAACAGCCTGTTCTGATCAGGGCTGAAATAGAGGGGTTTATAGACATGATCAAATACAGGATCAGAGTGGATATAGAACAAGAAACTTCACAGACATGTTTTAGGGAACTCTGAGACTTATTTAAACTGGTTGAAGAGGAGGAGGATATGTGACCTTTAATTTAAAAGGATTTACAGCAAGAGGCTCATTATAGCAATGAACCTCTTCAGTGTGAGACTGCCTCACCATACTAAAGTTACATTTTAATAATAACAGCTTGTGAATAATTGCTTCCCTACCTGTTCCCGCTGTTGTGCATAACTGCTGACAAACCATTCATATTGCACTTCATATGCACAGAGTAAAACACACTACCTTATTATGCCTAATCATTTTGACATTCTGGATGAATAGAGTCCTTCTTCAAATGTGTGTGGATACAGAAGATTCCCATTGAAAGGAACACAGTCCTCCTTTCCTGCAATTAATTATTTTGCTCCAGCCTCCAAGAACATCTTCTCCTTCCCTCTGAGTAATACAGCATTACACAGGCACTCAGTCCTGGATGTAATTAGTATAGTGTGGGCCTAATTTAAATGTGTTTCTCTTTATTTGTGTCATTGGAATTTCTCCAGTACAGCTCATTCGCCAACAAAACAGAAAAAACTGCAATTGTACCAAACCAAGGTGCAAACTTTCACTCCCCAGTCAATCAAATTAAAACTGAAACACACAAGGATTTTATGTTTCCTCATTTTGTCGCTGCAGCAAATTAATCCAAATCAGACACACATAAAAGGAGTTTAGTAGCAAAACAGACATCGAATCATTGCCAGGATTACAACCCAATTTCCTCCTAACAACTTGACACATTAGTGAGAATTGACTGTGATGTGATGACAAACGCTGTTCAGCGTAGAGCTGAGGAGCAGTAAGTGACAGATTGAAACGCCGCTCTCTGGAGGCCTTGTACTGTCGCTGTGAGGGCGAAGACGAGCGAGTCAGAAGTGACTGCAGGGAGCGGCACAGTGTGCGTCCTCATATGTTCACGCTGGTGTAAACCATGTTGTGTGTATGTTCATGTTCATGCGAAGGTCTCAGCTCTCTCTTTCAGCCCCCCCCCCCCCCACCCCCCCACCTCTGCTGTTAGTGTGACAGTTTGCAGTGCTAAAACAAGTGTACGAGCCGTGTGGAGTCCCCACGCAGTTGCTTTTTTTCCCTACTGTGTATACTATTTTTGCTTAACACCTTTCACCCAATCTGGAAAAAAAACAGACTGAACATCGAGTCGAAATGATAGTGGGACTTTAAGGGTCAGAGCAGAAGCAAGAAAAATGTAAAACAAAAAAATAAAATCGCACTGAATTCTAATTTAGCTTCATTCGATCACAGTCCTCAGATAAAATGAGCTCGCTCAACAAGAAGTAGTTTGTCCAGGGTAGAACCAAAAGCAATCAAATTTTGTTGCTTGTATAATATGTCTTTTTTTTTTGTCTGCAGCCTTTTCATGAACACCATTTCCTACAACCTTGGTAAATATCAATAACTTGACAGACTGGCTCGTCGTGTTGTGAGCTGTGAGAATAGACTGGTCGATCCCCGTGCCCAGACATGTCCGTCATGACTGCTCACAGTTTTACCTTATGAAAGATGTTCTCAAAAGAATAGAAAGATAAATAGTAATAAAGGAGAGACGGGTTTACAATGATATATTGTATGTGTAAGTGAAAAATGTTATAAGGCCAATTGTTAGTATGATTAAAGTGGAAATCTCAGGGGCTGGAAAATGAGGCCAACACATAAGATGTATGTTTAAAAAAGTGGATTTATTGTGTTTAAATCACAGACTGTAGATATTAATGGAGGAAGCCTGAGTGATGTCAGCCATCTGTTACTGCAGGGAGATCTGGCGGCTCATCGGCAGCAGTCGCCATGCTGGAAATCCTGTTTCAAACTAACTTTCAGTCAACCTAAGGACAGGCTGAGAGCTGGAGCTGAGGTGGGTTTTAAGCCTCTTGACGAAGCGTCAACACACCTAACTATGGCTAACATGTATCATTTGCAAAATCAAAACAGTGATCTAATAGGCTATCCAGAAAAGGTCGAAGCGTAGCTAAACGGGGGCATATGGCCACCTACTGTAGTCGAGTTGGATATACTTCTTCCAATCATCAGTTCTCCCCCGGTGCTTGTTTACTGGGACAAAGAAAGTAGTCCACTTAAATGGTCTAATGGAGCTATGAGTGTAACCCGACTTCACTTTGCATAGAGGGATAATAGACCAAAAGTAGATCTTAAAAAAAATCTGCTATGGGAATTTGATCTTTCTTTCAGGACACATAGCGTTTAAAAATGGGTATGGGTAATAGGTAAAAAACATCAGAGAGAGCTGTCTCCCCTCCTCCCTAGAGCTGATGTGCACGTGGGTTGCAGTGTGGTGGACACTGAAGCTTCAGTGTTTATCCAGCTCTGCATCGGTCTGTAAACATTTCTGCGTTCTAACCTCTAAAAGCATCTCCAACATTGATCCTAGTTTGAGCACGTTTCTGCTCGTGGAGTTTATTAGAAACATGCAGAGGCTTTTTAGGTCGGGTACAATCACTTCTCTGAACCAGTTCTCTTGACCATCGCTGCAACACCTGTTGGTTTGGTTTTGCTTATCTTCTCTGCCCAAAACAAATACAGACCATTCCGATTCTAAAGTTAGAAGGAGGACATATTGACTGTCAGAGAAGCCAGCACTTCAACATAGCATGTTTCCTTAATGTCTGATCATATAGTAAGGTCATGATATGATTTAATTGAGTAGATATCTTACAGATTGGTCCTTTAACAGTCCTACACCTGTCTCATTATACTGGTGGAACTACTGCAGGGAACTGGAGACATTTCCAGAGGGATTTCCTGCCAAGTCTGTGTGCTTTCATTGTAACGCTTAATAACTTCTTCATGTTCATATGTCACTTCTTTAATTCACTGTTTTTAAACCTGTCTGACATGATGCTCATGCTCAAGTGGAGTATATTTAATTGAATAATTAATCAGGATGAGTCACTGGTGTAGAGTTTGAAGGTCATTGCCTGATACAGATTGAAATGGAAACATCAGATCTATAGAACGAGGCTCATATTTATGTGTTTCTTGTTAAGTGATTTTGGGTAAGCGTGTGAATCGAGGGATTTATCAGAGCTGCTTGTTAGCAGGAGCTCAACTCTGATATGGTGACAGCTCCCATGTCTGTGAAAAACAAGCAGCAAGGAACCACTGGACAGAACAAGCTGCTTTTCTGCAAGAAACAAGAAAACAATCAGAAATACAGTAAATACATCTGGGACTGTTGTCTGTGCCCTGAAAGCTACGAAGGCGTTTGTTAAGTGCTGCAGTTTTGTTTTTCACACAGAGAAGAATCTGCTTCATTTGTTCAGCATATCTTCTGTGAGACAATCGCCTCATTTAGGGGGACAAAGGTTTTCTGTTTGCTAGGTGGCCTTATACTTCTGGACATGATGTGGGGGAGTTAGGTATCCTATTGGAGCCCTTCCCTGCTGTGATTGACATTCTCCCACTGACACGTCCTGGCTCCCTGTGCTCACTGGTCTACCTGGCATTTCACTCTGAAAGCACCGGCGCCACCGCCTTTTTAGCATCAGAGCGACCACCACACTGTTACAGCCACGACAGCCTCGACACAGCTGACAGACATTTATATGGCAGAAGAACTGAGATCAAATAGTTTAATTTAAAACAACACATTTCTTTTTAACCACGAGTATTCACGATTCGTTTTTTGAAAATGTCATCACTGTGATCTGGGTTTCAGCTTCATTACATCAACAGTGAGCATGAGGGGAAATATAGGAAAACTATTAGGCTCTTTTACAACAGCTGAACTAATAATCCATACATCTGCCCAACCTTCTGAATCTTGTATTATTGTGGTGATGATGAGGGACTATGAAGCAGTACTCTCTCTCTCTCCCCCTGATCAACAACACATAAGTTAGTGACTTATATTTTTTTATTTTTTGTTTCAAGTCCATGCACATTTGCTGTTTTGAATGCACATTGTTTTG